AAGGAGCAAACGATGCTGATGATGGTGATGGAGACGTGAAGGTGGTGGTGCTGCAATGAGCATGAGGCTGCTTCTGATCCCGATGATGATTATGATCATGACATAAAATCAAGTTACGTAGCAGCTACCGAGGCACCACCTCTGGATCCGCGAACGCCACGTCGCCTAGAGTGAGCGCAGACACAGGATCGGAGGGGTGTTCTTTAGGGCTTTTCGGGTTGAGGAACACCTCCAAGCACACTCAAAATTGCGACATTTATTGGGAAAAAGCCCCGTGCTACTAATCAGGAGATAGCAAGTGACAAGACGGAATTAAACAAGCGACGTGTACCAGTGTACCATCATGCTGGTATTCAAATCCGACCTAAGAAGAAAAGCCATGAAACTCCCGAGAAAGAACGCCACACTTCCTTGCACAAGGAGCTTGCCGCCCTGGACCTTGAAGCAGTGATGCTTCATGACATTTGTTCGTTTGTTGCTTCGAGTGGGAAGATATCAGATCAAAGATATCCTTGCATCAGCAAGCTGTACATTACAAAGGTGTGAGGGTCTGATAATTGCGTGCTTTTAAAGCCAGCATCGCCTTATCGGGCGTGCTGCGCCACCTACAACAGGACCTGCGCGCGCTGCATGTGGCTTCCTGGAAGCGGGTCCGTTCCCTTTTTCTGATAGACCCTAGATACATTGATACATACACTCATCGTTAATTCCGAGGTGTGCAATTCTGCACACCCGAAAATCTATTAGTCTATCCCCACCCCCAACCCGTACCGTGAACCTTGCACTCGAAACCTGGAGGCAGTGGGAAGTGCAGGGCATGCACGTGCCCTGAGGCTTTGGGGTTTGCTTCACACAGCGGCGCGGCTTGGAGCAAAAAAGGGGTGAAGGCATACGTAGCTCCCAGTTGCAACCGCAATATCGCTACAGCCACTGCTGCGACTTCTACTGTTACTACCACGACGACGACTTCCGCCACAGCTACTGTCGCTGCTGCATCTGCCGCTGCTCTTCAACAATAAAAGGTCGCCACTGATAGTGATAGTACTAAGACCAAGACACCGTACTGGACGTACTCGTCATTACGAGTTCGGGACTGCCGGCCCTGACATCAAGCACGAAAGGACCAAGGTTATCTTGAAACCAGACTGATCTGCAGTTCGGGGTGCCATGATAGCCATTTTTACCACCGTTTTTGTTTCCTGGATTCCTGCGTGTGTGGCGGCAGGAGGTTCGCGTGGTGGCCTTGCGACTGGCGGAATGTGGATGACAATAGTGCGGTTGTCGTTACTGCTCGAACAGCCGTATCTAGGAATCCTTCGGTTGTTGCCGGCAGAAGTATTCTGACATATTCTTTGTTTGGTGTCGCTGAGGAAAAGCAGCAACTATTGTTGTTGTCGTTGTAGCAGCCACTACTATGTTCAGTAGATCGAGGAGTAACTGCCTGTTCGTGACAGGGCCTATCAAGGAACACTCTTTTACCATGGACCCCTTCCACCCTGTCATGAAGTGCGGAGCTTCCGATTCCAGATTTAGGACCTGGGTTGGATGGCTTGATATTGAGGATGCAGTAGCTGCATTGCTAGGATCCCCTCATGTGGCGAGTAGCCCGAGATCCGTATATGCCATCTCCATCAGGTGCAGCCACAAAAAACGGCCCCGCCACACTGAGAAAAAAGGCACCGCCACCCCTCTGAACACATCCACCCGCGTAAGTATGAGCCCTTTGCGTGATGAGCGGGACAGTCTTCGTTGTGTGTGCGATTTTCGATCGGGGTGTTTGTTTTGAGCGTCTGGCTTCCGGGTGGTAATCACGGTCGTCATTCCCATCCTCGCTCATCACCCAATCCACGGCAACAACAGCAGCGCTAGGCTAAACTTCCTCATTCTAGCTGGAGTCTTTGTCGGCTCAAGGCTTGAAACTTGGAGCATGTTTGCCGAGATGCGAAGACAGTGGGCGTGGGGCGTGCTCGTAGGCAAAAGCCGTCGCAACTTCAGCTTCCCAAGCATTGAGCATCTCATGCCGTGTATGCGACACTTATGAGTCCATGGCTCTGACGGCTCTTAAGTATTCCCACGAAAGTATTCTAGTCTTCTAATTCTCTGTCCCTTTGGACATTTATCAGCTGCACGCATGCCGAACTCAACAGCTTCAATACCCCGTCAGTTTCCTCTACTTTTTGTGCCCCGGTTCTATGCTTGGCCCATACAAGCCGCGTGCTGCAACGACCAGGCGCTCCCCCTGGCATATCAGGGCTTTGGCTGGAGGGTAGCAGTTTTTCGACGCCCAACAACCCACAGACATCCCCAGACCCCCCAAATAGGCCCCAGCCCAAGACCCAGGCGCATCTTCGCCTCCGCCCTGGCTCTGGTCGGGGCCGGGCCGAGGCCGGGGCCCTGGCCGGGGCCGGGGCTTTCTCACGTGACGGAGCGTAGAACGGAGGGAGGGAAGGAAAGGAGGGGAGGGGAGGGGACCCGGAGGGGAGGAAAGAAGAACTGAACGGATGCATTCACCAAGGAAACATCGTATGTTGTTTTTTGACAAAACAATGAAGGAGAGCTGGTTGCAAATGCAGTATGTGTGTGTGTGTATGCACAAGTATTGTGATCCGATGCTTGTAGATTTACGTGCATATTCTGCTTCTCTGCGTGCGCAGGACTGCAGGTTGTTGAAGAATTCTTCATAGGTTTGAAGGTCATGCGCTTGAAGGCTTTGGTTTGCAGGCTCAGGCGAGAGCTAGCCACAGAGCTGCTCGCTCGTTTTGTTGAGCTTGGATGTAGCCCAGCGCTGAATACTTTGTGACGGTTCGGACCCAAACCTCGTGCAGGTACCTATTCTGCCAGAAATCTGCCATGGCAGCTTCGAACCAAGAGGTGGGTTGGGACTTCGGCAGCTAGGAATCGGACACGTTTGATCACCTTCCTGTCGGGAAGCTTCCGAGGTGGTCCAGCCCAGCAAGCGCATCCGACTGACGGACGAGCCATGCATCGTGGCGATGTGGCGGTCTCATTCGTGGAAGTTTTCTCCGTCACATAAGCCATCAGTCATGCAGCACCGCCGCTTAGTAGCTTCGCGTGGCACGGAATAGAAGGCAGAGGAGTCGCAGACCGAACGCTCTTGCAGACATCGACGACGATAGCAGTGAGGATCGCTGTGATGATAGTAGCACAAATTTCAAGATCAAATTGGGAGACAGACGTAGGTCTGGCTAGTCCTGACAGGGTTTTGACCAGCTCGACCACGACGAACATGATCCCTGCCACATCCCTACCACTACCTCTACCAGTATCACTGCGCGACGACGACGACGACCACTACTAGTGCAGCTACCACTGGTGCTGCTGCTCCTGCTGCTGCTACTGCTCCTGTCATTGCGATGACGAGACGGCGACTCGCGGTGATTTTTGCTGTGCTTCTCAACCAGCCACAATTGCTTCCCAATGGCACATTTTCCATTGTCATCATTACAAATCTGAGCTGAGAAATATTGCAGTGGTTCCTGTCTTTGCTTTTACGGCTACTCTTTTCTTGCTAAGGCAAAGGATGCTGCGTGGCAAGGCCAGTGTCGTGGTAAGATAACCATGGCGTACAGCGTCAACATGCTGTTTCCTGAAAGTCGATGAGATGGTTCCTTTCTGCTACTTTCTTTGGTTTACTGGTTTCTTCAGTCAGCAAAGTTTCACTCACTTCAGCCGAGGGTCTGAATGCGAGAGCACAGGTACTCAGCACGAAGACCAGTGCAAGCCTTCCTCTCCTGCATTCGAAGTATTTGTGCGCAGGAGGGCATCATGTCCCTAGCTCAGGGCATTGTGCATTGGGCGCCGCCAGTGGCTGCCAGCGAGGCTGATCGGCTGTTCTGCTGGCATTTGTGTTTTTGGGGCCGTTAATCTGTCCAAGGTTTGGTTTGGGTTTGATTTGCACCAGACGTGCCTTCGAGGATTGAGCATGCTGCAGCGGTCTAATGACACGCCTTGATTCTGGAGATTGCCTCGCACTGCTGGCATTTTGTGCTCGCAAAGTCCTAAAGCCAGAGCCGAGTTTACGGAGGGGATTTGCGGTGTGGTTTGCTCGGTCGTTAGGTAGCGTCTGCTTCCAAGTGCTCACGAAAATTGATTTGCAGTTTAGGTAGCAAACCTAGGCACCATGAGTTGATGGAATCAGCAAAATTCAGTTACCAGCTCCAGCGTACAGTTTTCTTTTGAACCCTCCTGCGTGTGGACGTTTGTGTGCAACTTCCATGGAAGTTCAATCACATCAGTGGCACTTACAGCAACGGGTTCAGGAACTGCCTTGCTGTCCAGACGAATTCAGTGGGCCCTCATACAAACAAACCTCACGCAGCTTCCCAACGAGGCAGCCGCGAAAGCGGCAGGCGAGCCTGACACGAATTCATACTGCCATGATCTCAGTGTTGCAGTCTTGCTGCCTGGATTTTCTTGCGAAGTGCTTGTCGGTTCTAGCAAAGGTGCAGACCTGTTGGTGGATTTACTAAGGGACACTATAAATCCTACGAGCCCCCAAGTCACTTTTCACTCGCGCACAAGCTCTGCCAAGGCGCAGATGATGGATTGCCCGGAGCCTCAAAGGGAGCAGTGCGTCACCGTCTGTCATCATAGGACGTACCGCATTGCCCGTCACGAAGCCCTGAATTCCGACGGGTAGCGGAGAAGAACTCTAAGGCCGGTCCTGCGGGAAGCTTTGAAGGAGCCCAGAACGGGTTCAAGCAAGGGTCCGAACCAAAGGCGTGTAGACTTCAGGCTTTAGACCGGCTTTGAGCCTTCTGGGTGGGCCAGGGATCCAAGGATGGCTCCGAGCTCGAAATCCGCTGTACAAATGTAGAGGATCGGAGAGTTTGTGGATTCAGGTGGGTGCAGTTCTTGCATTGTTGCGTCTTTTTGAATCCGATGGCGAACAATTGGCGACCAGAGTGTCTGCTGCACTTTTCAATGGTGTTTGGAGTCGTGAGTGTATTCAGCCCCCGTTGAGTTGTCAGTGCTGGCAGGAGAAGCTGCGCCAGGAGAACGGCTTGGATGGCGTAGAGGCAGGCGGTTTGCTGCGAGCACCGCTGCAAAAAGCGTCCAAGGATGTGATGCTTTCTGCTCGCCATGAGGTCATGGTGACGGCAGGAGCGAACCAGGCCTACACGAACCTAGTGTGCACTTTGCTCGACTCGCAGGACCGATGCCCTGCGGAATGCAGCCCTTGACTTGACCTAAACAATTGCAGCCCGATATTGAGCCGTCTATTCTCTTGCTGGTGCACTGACACATCGCATGTCATTACGACGCATCTAGCCTGCAGGTGTGTGCTGCAAAATTGCAAGGATGCTGCCGTCTTGTTCAGCCCCTTTTACTTCAACCACCGGATGCGATCTCAGTCTGACCAGTGCTACCACAGCCTGATCGAAACCACTTCCTGCTCTCTGCCAAGTGATGAGTAGAAGTGCTGTTTCGGTGTTTTGAATATGCGCCTATTGCTTGAGAGACACAAGAAGTGCCGCATGAAGGGTTGTCAATATTTGGTTTGATGTCGAGCGCGTACAAACCTACATACGTAACATACTTATACACAAAAACAGAGATGCACGTATGTGATTCTGTGCATACGATCTCGAGCCATGTCCTCAGCCCGAAATGTGCGCCCAATTTAGGATGGCATTGCAGATGACCGGTGGGCACGCCTCTGTAGTGCTTGCGCCAAGCACACAGGACCGGCCTCAACGCTTAATGGCTGCGAGCAGGAATTGCGGCTTGAGGGCGGAGCGTTTGCTACCATTTTGGATGCAGCCGTGGCCTGTGGGCTGGAGCTTGTGTGGTGTTTTGTTGTAGAGGCTTTGGCTTTATACCGTGGTGTTGCTCCAAAAGCTGCTTGGAGGCTCAGCTGTTGCGAGGCTGTCCCAGAAGACTTGGACCACAGGGAAGAACAGAATATTATGTGGTCCTTGCAGTTTCTCGCAGGAAGGGCCTTTAGTCACGTGAATTGCAAGGAAAGACAAACTTTACTTATCTGTTTCTCTAGTGATTCTAGTGGGAGGAGGCATGCTTGAATCTGCGACAGCATCATGTCATCCCCCCGCCATGCTGCCGCGACTGCGAGCACAATCACCCATCAGTCATTTTTTTATCTTCATCATCACCAAGCGTTCGCCAGCCAGGTGTCTACCCGCATGTTGGTCTTCGTAGTGACCATCCCCACCGCCCGCTTCGTCCTGGCAGTCTCAACCTGCAAACGGCGCATCATCCGAGGACTACCTCCCAGATGTCGACTGGCTTGAAAAGAGGCCCTGTAACGGCAATCTAGTTCCTATGCCTGAGCTTGGAGATGCAAGGACGTAGAGTTCATCTTGAAGCTCATGCGCAGATATGATCGCTTCGAGACTACAGTCGTCATTATCAAAACAATGATGAAAGGCATGTTAGTGTGCGGCTACGTGCAGTTATGCGCATGGATACATGGCCACGATCCCGCCGTTTCGCAATTGCATACGCCAAGGGCTGGAATTTGGATGGTCCGTAGCTTGCAAGAGCCGTTTCACGTGTGAGTCGTTTTCACGAGGACCGGAAGACATTGTCACGTTGCTGTGGCACAGTCGGTTTTCACACGCATGCAAATAGTCAACAGGGAATTCTTCGGAAGTCTGTGGGTTCCTGGACGTCCCTTCACTGGACCGAGGGCACCAAAATCCAAAACCTTGGAGCTGACTGAACTCTGGAATTTGGAGCTTTGCTGGTTGGTGAGTCTGTGAGGCTGGCCGAGCCACCGGTCGGCGAACGGATTCGCATGGTCACAGTCGCAGGGAGCCAAGGTTCAAACCTTTGAGCTGTCTTAGAACGAGTTTGCCACAAGTTCACCTTGGATGTTGTGGAAAGGAGGACTGGGCCTAGCCGGATTAGATGTGCGCAGTGTGTATGCCTCCAATCCGGTTTTGCAGTAGTTGGATGAGAAGCTATTTGGGGTTGTCTCGAATTGTTTGCTTTGCAACGACGGGTACGCGACGAATCCTGGAGCCGACTCGGCAACGTAAACTGTGTGTCTCCGTGGCTGCAGAGGTCAACCCTGGCAATCCAACCGGCATGATCCTATCGAAAGCGATGCCCGGTAGCCCGCAGTGTTCCTTTCTCGAGGTTTCGGGGAGCGGGAGAGTTGAACGTCTCTGTGTACCGGCTGCAGAGCGGGGCTGAGTTTTATCTGGCTCTCGGGCACTTTTGTACGAGGCTTTCTGGTTGGGGGCACATGATATGGAAGAGCAGAGAAGCAGAAGTACGGGGAGGGATTCCTTGCTGTTCGCGTGGATGTGCAAAAAGCCAACCCTTGAAGTCATGTTGCCAAGCGCTGAAGGCTCGATCGGTTGTCTGCTCTGTGCAAGAAGCATGGTGCTTGGCTGGTTATGGACAACACCTACGAGCATTTTACGTACGAAGAGGAGTGCCGAAGTGCTTCATGCCTTGTCATCGCTTTCAGGGATCTATCTCCGCCTACAGCCGCGTACATGGGCAAGGGCTGTGAAAGTTAAAGTTAAGCTTACTGAAGAAAAAACTCTGCGGGTTATGGGATGTTTCCGAAATCAATGGGACAGGCCCAACGCTGTGAAGAGCAGGATCGGGAATATCAACGACAGCAGCCCATTACATGCAGCAGATGGAAGCTCACCAGTGAGCCAAGCTCCTCCAGACAGAACGATGGTTCTTAGTAGATGTATGATGACACCTCCTTTGAGTCGCTTTGGTTTTTCGCCAGGACGGCCACCCCTCCCACAGCTGCGTCAGCGGAGACCACGTGGTGAACGTTTTCTCTTTCAGCAAGGCACTTGTCCACTTGCCATGTTGCCACAGACATGGGTCTCACCACGGCTCGTGAAACTCTGTCCCCTATGCCCTACATTGTTGATATACATGGTGACAGGTCGGACAGCCAGCCAGTTCTTGATACTCCAAACAGCCCATTCACCCATTCCGTGGAATCGCACAGGCCTTCGGAATGATGGGATGGCGCGTAGGCGCCAGATTCCGTGTAGTTTTCAGAGGAGCGAGAGCATGTGCCGTGGCCAGAAACTTCAAGTTGTGAGTTTGGTTTGAGAGACTCTGCATGACGAGATAGAAGTTCGACAGATCTTCGACCTGTGCAGGCTACTTGGCCGGATGCTCGGCTTCTGGCATCTTCCACATTTCTGGCTCCATGAAATGGCAAACCAGGCGTTCCCACCCAGCCTTCTGCCGGAACTCATGAAAGCCTGGCCCTTAGCTTTCACGCAATTCTCCTCACGATCAAAAGAAGCTTCTTCTACGGCATGTCCTTGCCTGGGCAAGCAGTCTGAGAACGATCGCTGCCATGCAGCTGAATCGCGCCCCATCCCATGGTATACCCGAGTATGACGGCAGCGCCAACTATCGCGCTCCTCGTGACTGTCATCGTTGTCTCCGCAGCTTAACGGTGTCAAGTGTCAGACCGCTGGATGCACGAACCATCCAGCAAGTTTGAGTCTAGGTTCAAGACACAATCGCGATATGCCCGACGGTGGTGTCGCAGAAGGCTCCGGGTTGGCAGACTTTAGGGTTCTCAGTGCGGATTTGCGACATCATCCCCGACCAAGCCTAGGTCCTCGGTAGCGCAGGACAGCTGCAACCTGAGCCACCGAATCTGACACAGGTAGCACTTGCTGCGCTAGGCGCCGGCAGGGAGTGGGTGCAGCGACCTGAGCATCTGAGTGCAGTCATACTCACGTTTGTCACCGTCCTCACGTTTATTCCTAGCAAGTGGTTTTCGTCGTCGTCGTCGTCGTAGTAGTAGTGCTCGTCGTCGTAGCAGCACCAGCAGCGCTAGTAGCAGAGACAGTGGTAGTAGCGGTAGGAGTAGGAGTGAGAGCAGGAGCAGCAATAGTAATAGTAATAGTAGTAGTGGTCGTCGTCGTCGTCGTCGTCGTAGTAGTAGTAGTAGTAGTAGTAAGCGTAATAACTGCGTGACTGAGCGCTTTGACCTGGCTGAGGAAGGAACGCGTCCGCGGCCTGAAAGAAAACAAACGGCTGGTAATCCAAGCTCTGACAGAAACGCTCGGTGCCAGCCCCGGTTGATTGGGTTCGGGGGCTCTTGCTGGAGCCAATTTTGTGTTGTGCAAAAGCTTCGGCATGATTTCAGCTTCAGTTCTACTAAAGTGTACTTTGCAGGTCGCGACTGCTTGCTGTAGTGCATAGGCTTTCGCGAGAAGCTTAGGGGGTTGGTTTCTCGAATGTAGAATACCGTGCAGCGCTTGCAGTAGTCAGCAACACAGCGACCAGGCCCCGGCAGCGTTGCAGGCAGGATACTTCCGGGAGCGTTTCGGAGGTTTCGATTTCGAGTTGAGCATGCGCACTTGGAGGAAGGGCCAATGTCGCAGCTTGCATCATTTAGGCCTGAAGTCGCCTGCCACAATCGTGCAATGTCTTCGCGATGCTGGAAGCCGTTTCCTTTAGTCGGTTTCACTGGTTTTCTGGGTTGTTGCGCGCGTTGCTGTGGCTTTCTGCCACAAAGTGTTCCTTGGAGCAGGCGGCTCGGGTGCAATTTACCTCATGGCAAGGCTGCCCAAAGGTTTCGAGAACGTGCGGGATCCCGGCAGTGACAAGAGGGCTCGAGAGGGCTTCTCTGTAAGAGTTATGTGAGTTATGTGGGTTTGGGGTTCAGAGCCTCAGGGCCAGGTTTGGTCAGGCGGTGGCAGCTTCGGGGCTCATAATCGATCTAGCTCTGGCAGCTGATGCTTTGTCCATTCTCGTCTCTACTTTCCATCCAAAAAGAGTGAAGGCGTGAAGATAAGATGCTCCTAGTCGGTGCCTCGCTGCTTAGGACACGCGCGTAGTGGAATGGCTCAGCGAGAAGTCGCGACCTCGGTTTGTGAAGGGCAGTATAGTGGCACACACGCAAAGCGCAAGGGAGCAGCAAAAAGTCGTGACCCCGGCGCGTGAAAAGTAAGAGTGGCTTCGTCTGCCACTACGTTTACTGCAGTTGTTGTGGCGATCGGGTGCCGATGGGTATGATGGCGGTGATGACATTATCATCGTTGTTCTGATGTCGGTGATGCCACGCTTGCAGCGATGGTTTTAACTCTTCTGTTGGGGACGGAGATGCTTGCGCTAGTGCCGATTCCGATATCTGAAGATAAGGATAAGAACGAGGATGATGATTGAAGCGACGGTTGCGACGACTACGACCCGAAGCCAGTGATGTCGATGACGAGGAAGATCACCTCGCTGATCATGTTAACGGTGTCGTCGAGAATATTGGACTCGATGTCAGTGTTGTTCTCCTTGTCGCTCTCGCAGTGCTGCGGCTGCTGCTGGTGCTGCTGTTGTTGCTGCTCTCGCCCAGGATGGTGTTGGAATTGCGTGGTCAATGGTGGCTATGGATGATTAGGCTTAGGCAAGATCTGATGAGAGTTTTGTATCGTTTTGTATACGGAAGGCTACAAACACCTGAGGCTCATGCTTTGTCAGCATACTGCTGGCAAGGTTTAGGACTGCGCAGGCATGTTGACATCTTCGTCTTTAACCCCCTCTCCCCCGCATCTTTGACACCTCCCTTTGGGACAGGCATCGCGTTTGTGCCATTCCTGGGTCCGCCTGCGGCTATTTGGCAGCATGATAAAAACTTGGAGCGCTGGGCATCGGGCTTCAGGAAAGAGGGGGGCTTCCGTGTTCGTCCTGCCAAAATGACGAAGATTCATCAGCCGAATCCTTGAGCTTTAGCGACTGAGGTGCCCCGGGTGAGATCCGCGTCTGCTACGCAAACTTGGCGCCCGAGAAGTGCGCCGAGGCAGCGAGACGGCTGAAGGCGGCGACGGGTTCAGTTCGTCAAAAGGCTGCAAGACGGGCTCGAAGCATAGTCTTTGTTTCTTGTGAAAATGATATTCCGTAACAGTACTCAGCTTGCGCGTCTGCAGCTGTGGATCTTCAGCACGCATATCCATAAGCATAGCCTTCAGCGATGTTGTACATCATAGTTACGTCGGCTTCTTCCACTGTTGATACTTTTAAGTGCTACTGTAATTATGCTTTGTGCTACTTGACGGAATGATGTCGGCTTTGATTTCAAGGCCGGGCTCAGCGAACTCCGTGAGAACGGCCCGACAATTTTCCAGTGATTGCGGTGTGCCTTCTCCCGGAACGGTCTACAGGAAAGACAGCGCTGAGGATTTCTCGCTAGAGATGAAAAACGGAGGGGATCGCTTCGCATTCGTGTTAAGCAGTTCTTCTCAATTCGTGAGGACTAAACTGCAGCGCTTGTACCCTTACGAATTTTCTGTTGTGGCCGGAAGGGTTTTAGATTCAGCTTCGCCATCAAAGCGGAGGAGTTTGGTTCACCCATACAGTTTGCTTTGTTCGCTCGTCCAGCAGTGGTCTGGATTCAGAAAAGACTGACTTACGCAGACCTATAGAAGAAAGGTCGCAGACGAAAGCGAGGGCAAGACGGCTTCACGACGGACTTATTAGTCAGTCCGTAAGCTTCGAGTGGCATCAAGTGGATTAAGTACATGTGCTTTAGAAGCCGCCACGGCAGAGACACTGGGACAACAAGGAGCATAGCTAGACCTCCATGCACGACTGCGAAGCCGCGAGCCACAGAAAGCCAAACCCAACCCTCACGCCTGCAAACCTTTATCACAAGTAGCGCCGAGACTACCCTTGCTCATGAGATTCCTGTCGCATGACCCGAAGTGTCGACTCGTTCAGCTGCTGTGACCCATGGTGTTATGATGGCTGCAAGCTGTACTGTGCAAATCTTGCTATCCACCTGCAGCCATCGAGTGGTGAGAAGAAGCGGCTCGTTCTCAAACCCAGTCTCTGCAAAGCAAACCATGGACAACATCGATACGCACCACAAAGAGGTAGCCGATATTCCTTGGATTGGTCTTGCACACGCAGGCAGATGACCATGAGTCGGAAGTCTCCCGTCACGGGAAGGGTCCTCAAACCAAACTTTTGGCGGCCCATCAAGCCTTTCCCCAACCAAGCCCTGAACGACCTCTACTGCAAAGCTGGTTGTCGTTTCAGCCGTAGGCGAGTAATCCTAATTTCAGGCAGAGTCATTGGGACCTCAAGGTTTCAGTGAGAAGCGGAGGCCATTGTAAGTCGTTGGGATGTCGCTTTACCATGTGCTGTGGCACGAAACTTGGGAGCTCATCGGCGGTGTTCGCGCCATGGGCATAATCGCTTTCGTCAGCCACGTGCCGCGTGGCTTTAAGGCCAGTTGCAAGCCGTCAGATCGAAGTTCAGCGACGGTCCCTTGCTGTTGTCTGCTTTGTCCTGATTTTCAGCAGGTGTGTTGCCCGAGAGATCAATGGACCGGTGTCAGATAGGTATCGGTATGCTCGTAGGCACTATGACAGGGTTCTGAAATTTTGAGCGGTGCAAGTGGTCTCGGTTCATTTCACAATATCAGGTTTATGGTAGTTTCTCTTATTCAGTTGTCCGGCAGGCCTGGTCATGCACCGGCTGCAGGCAATTTCTTGCCTCGTCGCCAGGACCTCGGAGAGACAGCGTGCTAAAACACGCTTCTAAGGACCGCAGGCAATGTTCGATGCGTCATGCTGCATGTATCATCCGATATGCACACGTGTCGACGACTAATGCGCTACTGTAGACGTTTACGCAGTGGTGGCACTTGCACAATTGCTTATTCGGCCTTTGGTGCATCATTGCTCTGTCCTGGTCCGTCTTGCCGTCGCTGCTTTGCGCGATGCAGGGGATTCGTTCTTTCGTGCTACAATCTGCTACAACTCCCTCCATGTCTGCTTTTGCACTACACCCGCACCACATCAGACAGCCATCCCTGAATCAAGTGCAGCTCACAGACAAGATTGCTTCAGGTGCCACTAGGGGCAGTCGGGGGGCCAAGTACAGCGCTTCAGGGATCGGAATCGATGGTTCGGACAGTGGACAAGTCGTTTGGATGGGTCGATTCTTATGCTTGAGGTGTGGTGGGCCGAAATTGAGGGCTGCGTTGGTGCTTCGATGACCATTTCAGCCGCATGGGTCAAAGCCTCGTGCTGCTTGCTGTTGTTTGAAGAAATTGAAAGGTCCCGGCATGTCCCGGCCTTTGTCACATAAACGGGCCTGGGCAGCGGGCTCCGAACATGTCGTGGACTGATTCCCATGATTTCGAAGGCCGGTGCATACTCGTAAGTTATTGTTAAATAGCAAGGCAGAGGCAGCAAGGTTAAGAATCATGACGCCTGGCACGAAACTCGGAACCAAAGTGCGTGTGCGTAGACACACTTATATTATTCATTTGTCTGTCTGTCTGTCTATCTGTCTATCTATATTGAATCTATGTTTGTATCTGTGTATCGATTCAGCGACTAGAGCCGTTGACCTCTGCAGCATGTAAGTCTAAGTGATCTAGGAAGAATTGCCGAGCAAAGATGAAAGAGTTGCAGCTAATCCTCAAACGAATCCTCCCTGTTATCCGGCAAGCCACGCAGATGTGCTGCACTACGAGGTTACGATTCATGTGCCCTCTCGCGCCCGCCAGCGTTGGCGGCACATGTGCCGTGAGGAGCAAGTCAATGAGGACTGGGCAGGTTTACTGCGGAGGGGGGGGGGGGGCAGGACGGTCCGAGATTCTTACCAGTGTAGCATCGCACCGTTGGTTGTGGCAAGGTGGCTGCTGTTACCCATCTAAGCAAACACGCTGTAAACCTCAGGGGCAAATGCTGTCTGGTCTCATCAGCGCGCGGCAGGAGGCAGTCACTGCAGTCTGCAGTCATGTATGTGCTGCTGCTGCCGCTGCTCCTACTGCTCCTGCACCTGACTAACAACAGCAACAACAACTACTACTAAGCTACTACTGACTACTACTACTACTACTACTACTACTACTACTACTAGTACTACTACTACCACTACCAGTACTACCACTACTACTAC